CTGGGTGTTGGTGTAAGTTGCATTGATGAAGTGTGAGTCGTTGAAGAGGATCACACCCACCACACTAATCAGGTTCGTCAAACCATGTTGGGAATAATTAGCTTTTTTACAATATGTTATTGTATGTCATACAACGAGTTTAGGTATTTTATCAGTATCATGATGACCATGTTCAGCAATAGGTTGTGTTGAGTTAATACTTGAATAAATATTTGGTAATGTCGATTAATTGAGATTATCCAATAGATTTATTATTGTTGAAGAAATTTGTATATCTTAGAATCGTTTGATTTTCGTCAGATTCCAATAGCATGCCATTTTTCAATAGAGCAAAATTTCGCTCTATGCAACTCTTATAGCGGTTAGCTAATTTTATTGCTCAATATATCATAAAGCAAGAGCAATGCAAATTTCATCGTAGATTCTATTTTGAATAGAAATTTCATGTTGGCAAATTGTTCTAACAACATGAATTTGTACGGAATCTTTTTCTGTCGAAAACTATTATATTTGAAATCAAAACGAATTATGTCACTTGTTTTATATACCTGTACTACACTATGAATAGCAAGAGTAAAAGACTTACCGTAGTCCTAGCAACATTCTAAGTACAAGTCTCACTAAATGTATAGTAAGTTTTTACACATCACGTCTTTATAGATAGAAGATGAAATTCGGCATAACGTTCTGTGTTAAGTTTCCTTTGATACTTTTTTATTTAGTGAGATACATATCTACTCTGTTGCTGGAACTGCAATAAGCTGTTTTACTCCTGTTATTTCTAACATATCAAGAGTACTGAAGAGGAACGAAAACTCATATTGAAGACTCATAAATGTATGTATCATCTCGAGACATAGATTTCTGACATAGTTCGAACTAATTTCTAGCGACACACATTATAGATTTTGTTACAATGAAAAACACCCAAATTATAAAGACCGAATGCGTACACGATCGATTACAGAAATGATATGCCTCGCACTACATTAATTATACATAATAAAACTGATATCAGTCAACATTCAAATTGCAGGACGTTATAAAGTATATCAAACAATAATCAATCGTACATTGAGAAAAAAAAACAGACGGCTCCAAATATGGAAAATAAAGATCTCGAAGAAGAAGCTGTAGTAAACCCTACAGAATGATTGTGAATGGTTGTGATATTATTTTGAGCATTGAAAAATATTTTGGTTGAACTGATGATGATGTTCAATTTAATCAAAGATATTATACAAGCGATACACCAACAACTTCATTTGATGTTAAATATAAAGACAAAGAAATTTTCGTCAAAAATTTTAGTGTTGATGATCGTGTCATTAAAAATTTTATCTAACATTTTTAGAAATATCATCAAAAAATGACAATTATGTATTATGGCGGGATAAAGCTAGTATATTTTACTCTGATATTATCGCTAACTGAATAAGACACAAAATTCAGATGCAAAAAAAAAATGATTGATTAGCTCAACTAAAATATGTCTTATACATAGAGAGCAAACTCAAAATAGATTTATCATCTGAAATAATTATATATAAGCATAGTATTGAGAACAACTCAAAGAAGTGGACAACCATATTGTTTTACTAAGAAAATTTAGTTTTAATGAAAATTTATCTACAGATGATGATGAACCATATTACGAAGGAATTGAATACATGAAAAGGATAAAGATCTATCAAAAAGGTGAACATGTATGATGTATGTATCCATAAGTATGACCTTTGCCATCAACACTACATTATTCCATTCTAGCGTCATTAGCAACAAGCAAGCATATACATACGTAGCAAAATTGATTGGATTTTCGAGATAAAAAAAAAAGAATTCAGAATCACTTGCATTTTTGTGGAATTTAAGATGATCTATTTTTGTTTGTTGCTGTCTATGGAAGAAACTAAACAGTATAATTTTCATACAAAGTGCTAGGGTGCGAGTCGAGCAAATATTAAATAATTTTTGAATCTATCATGTAAGTTTCTGGCTTCCAACGAAAATATTCCGATTGTCAAAAAACATTACATCAATGTCATCAAATCGTCTGATAAAGAAACGCACTATCATTCATTTTCTAAAACATTTTATGATATTTTGTTTTCTTTTTCGGAAAATAAATTAACTAAATCTATTTTCTACTCTTCTGTGTTTTGATAAAGTATCTTTCATCTCTGTTTTTTTTTGTTCATATTAACAATAATGATTTATCACATATGATCTTCACATTTTTATTTAAATTCCATTATAAAACTAAAAGACTGCAGGGTGTGGGCGTGAATCTTCTTCTCTCATATACCCACATCCGCACTCACCCTGTTCCCGAATATCAGAATTCCTTTTATTGACATTAAAACTGATAAAATCATACCTTCAAAGTATCATCAGGGAAAAGCGTCTGGATGGACTAGCTATGATGTTTATGCACTTCATCCTTCACTTTAACTTCGAACAAGTCATTGACAACTTCTCAGATTTACCAATTCAATCTGGATGCAAGATTCTACTGTGTATCACTTTATTGCATCATATTCTTCAGTTTACTAGATAAAATGATCCTTTTTGATTGAGACTAATCCTTTGATGATTAAGATTGAGCTTGAAAATTTTCGATCATATTTAGTATCATATAACAATACATTTCTTGTAGATTCTTTGGCTTAGTTTATATTTTCGTTTTTAGTACGTCAACATGAAGCATAGAATGAATATTTCATAATATAAGAGAAAGAATTTCAACATTATTCTTATGTCAATAAATTAAGATACTATGTATATTAAACTTAATGTTTTTTTTTTTCATAAATTCATTCAAATTTATATAGAGAATTACTTGAACTTGAATGAAAACGTATGAAAAAAAAAAAAGACTCAATGCATCAACAAAAGCTGTTTAGTAAAATAATACAATACTTCTGTTTTACTTTCTTTAATATATTATGATTGATCGAGTTCATTATAGTTGACCTTCTGTTCAAGTCATTTTTTTGTTCTCTTTATACATTTGTCTATTTCATTATTATCAAGAATAAATATATATATATAGAAAGAATTATGTTTGTCTATCTTGAAATGTTCCACTTGACTTTGTCTTACACTTAGTCATAAACTACATCACGATTGAATGTTTTTATAAGTAAAAGAAGACAGAAAAAAGTACATAAGTTGTCTCGCTATAGGGTACCCTTTACTAATATGTGTCCAGTCAATGCTTTGATTCGTCGTCCTTTCGTTTCTTTTTTCTTAACATAACATTACGGGCAACTGTATGATTACTATAGAATACCTATATTCTTTTTTTTTCAACTCACATGATCATTCGTCGTCTTACATATGTGTAATGTATGAAGGTAGAAATAAAAAAAAAAAGTCTCCCTCTTTCGCGTTATAATAAAAAGAGAAGAAAAGGAGGTCTCTATTAATTCTCATATTTCTCTCTCTCTCTCTCTCTTGTATTATTTAATATGAGAATGTGTGCATACCTATAGATTCTATTTTGATGAACAATTGAGATGCCTCGAGAACAAGTCGAATGGTGTGCAAAACAATCATTGCATGATGGTGATGATAATAAAATACATAAACGTCAACATTGTACTTATTGTTCAATTGTTAATATTAATAAAACAAACTATCCATATTCGAGTTCATTTGAACAAGAACAAACATGGACATTAGCACGATCAACGTCAAGTCATCATAAACGATATCAATCATCAATTGAAAATATTCATTTAACAATACCATCTTCATCAAATATTTATAAATCATATCCATCAAATACAAATCATAATGATAATGATAATGAAAAAATTAAATTAGATCGATCTATATCACTTTTACCACCACTTCCACCATCACGACAACATGCATTATCAACTCATCGTTTAAATCGTACGAATACTGATTTAAAAATTAATCAACAACAAATTTTAACTAGTAGTAATTCAAATTCAAAAGTAAAATCTACTATAAAAAAATCGCAACCAATAGGAAATTTAATGCGTATTATGCATGTTAATGGAGAATTCATTGTGCGTATTTAAATAAATTTTTTTGTACTTACACACACACATATATATATATATAAGGAGCATTATTCTACTTATCTTTTGATAATACTCTTACATAACAAATGAAATTATTTATACATTGATAAAAAAGAAGAAAAACTACAGTTGTTGTATATTCAATCCGAAGAATGATCAGCTTATGTACACTTTTTTTTTTTTTGTATACTTTTGATATCGATTTCAAAATAAATGTTTTCCATAATAAATTGACTTTTAATATAGAAATGTAAAATAAATACCGGTAGTATTCATTATTATAATCGGTTCATTTTTGTTTTTAATTGAATATGCTTGTTCGATGTATACCTACAAAGTTCAAGAAATATCGACCGTTTTCGGCCGTAAAACTCGGAAAAATACTAGAAACTTGTGATACGATTATCAGATTTCTCCTTTTCAAGTTCCTAGTATAATCCGACTGGAAATTGCAACTTTTGTGCGGGTTCTCACTGAGAATTCACGGACCTAGATGCCGGAATCATTAAAGTTGTAGTCGAGCTTTGAACTCAATGAATGTTTAGAAAGAAAGATGATTTCATATCGCTAGTGCATGCATAAAGCCATATGTGGGAGTTCACAATCAAAGACGATTTGAACGATAGTTTCAATCAAGCGATGGTTAGTGCTTTCTATTTATACTAGAATTATAGAAAGTTCCAGCCGGTTGAAGACTTTCATTTCTTACTGTATCTTCTATACTTAAAGTAGAAATGCTTCAAATGTTTTAATATATTATAGATTTGTATTTATGTTTCTTCAGAATAATTCCGATTAGACACTGATAATTCATTTACATAAAAAATATTTATCTAAACTCTCTTGTTTATGAAAATAAAACTACATAGTGTTGAATATGTTCTTCATTCAAAATAATTTTAAATGAATTTTGAATATCAATCTGAAACATTCTATGCAGTAATTCTATTTATTTGAAACTAATGAATGTTGTCGAAAAAATTCAAAGAAAATTTTATCATTGAGTAATGTTGGCCATCTAGAATGCTGCATTAAACCTAAGCCAAATTCATCGGTACAGTTTAAATTGCATGTTGAAGTTATTTCCAATAATGAGTCAATAATGATACCTTCAGCAGTCAGATTATTCATATAACGTTTATTTAAATCATTAATGAATGCCATACCAGTCGCACAAATATTAATAATATCACATTGATTATATAAAATACGCACAGGTGTCAAATAAGATGGATAAGGAATTTGAGCACATGGATCTTTATAATCTCGATAAGGATCTGGTGCTGAATAGACAGCTGCTGCAGCTATTCCAGGTGTATTTAGTGTATATTGAACTGCCATTGCTGCACCATTACTCCAACCGGACATGAATACACGAGATTTATCAATATGAAACATATTTGATTGATCATTGACAACTTGATTTATAAAATAATCAAGTGTTTGTACATCAACATTTAAAGTTGGATCAGATCGATTATAATTTCGATACCAATTATCCCATCCAAGTCCTTGATCATCTGGTGAAGGATAAACATGAGTTGTATTACGACCGAATGGTAAAAGTAAATGATAACCAAGTGGACCATCAGCTGTACCTGTTAAATTAGCTGTGTATGCTTCTGACAAAAGATTAGTAAAAACTATTGTTCCTGATGGAAATATTGATGGATGAAGCCAAACGAGTAGAGGTAACATGTTTTGAAATGACGTAACGAGAAGACATGCTTGACGTGGATCATCATTCGAATCGGTAAAATCAAGTCTTATAACATGTCCTGATATATCTGCACAATAGTTTAGAATGGTAAAGATGTTATTTAGTGAAACAATAGGTGTAGCTGGCTGATCACCATATTTTTCTGTGCAATTTGATAATGTTCTTGGAGTTGTAAAAATATTAAGCGAACGACGATTTGGTAAAGCTAATGCATAGAAACCATTGATAATATACACTACAAGCAAATGTATGGCTTGCATTATGTAAATTTAAATATGCACTGATAATATGATGCTTTTCGTTAATATCAACAACGACAAAAAAAAATACATCGAATGAATGTTTGTTTTATCCATTTATTGACAAAGTGCTAATCAACTAAAAATAACCTTTTTTTTTTTTAATCCTTATTCTCCTAAGGTAAAATAATCGACATAATTGACAACTATGAATAATCGAATTAAATAGTTTAATGTCAATACAAATCATTATTACATATAGAAATAAGAAAGGTCATTTACATGTGAATTTTTGTAAAAAAATTAAAATTATTATTTTTTGTTGACTGTGAAATAATTCAATAACAGACTAAGAAAAATATATCTTTGACAAGAATAAAAAAAAAAAGTTGATTCCAATCAATCAAGGATTTTCTTAAACAAATGTTTTTACTAAATAACCCGTTTGTTCTATAGTGTAATCTCAACACGTAATACCTTGTTTTTATTTTTAGACTCATCTTCAAAACGAATTTAAAATGGTTTGAATCCTAATATGTGAAATAGACATGAGCAAGACAGTCCTGTAAAACTTGCATCAAATATCATATTCTCATAAGTCATGTGCTCTAAAAGTTCTATTGTCGAACGCATAAACATGCAGAATAGACGAAGTATTAGTAAATAAAAAAAAGTGCAAGTTAATGAAGCGCATTAATTCAATCTACACACACAAAAAGAAATAATCTGTTGATATTCGTTTGACTTTTTCTTCTTCAAAGTCTGATGCTTTACAAAAAAAAAAAAAAAATTGTTTTGATTTAAAATTAAAAACAACGTCTATGAATAATAGTTGGTCCATATTCATTATAATCTTGTTTAGTTAACCATAAATGTTGAAAAGTAGATAGAGTAGATAGAATACTACCACCAATCCAAACAGAATATTTTCGTTGTGGTGGTGCAATGATTTTAATTTTAACAGATGTTGGAGTCATTCGAACAATTTCATTTTGTAATCGTTGATGAATATTTAAAAACATTGTTGAACCACCTGATAGAACAATATTATTAAGAAGTTCACGACGAATATCAACATCACAATGCATTATTGATGAATATGTTGTTTCATGTATTCCACGTATTTCTAAACCAACAATTGATGGTTTAAATAAAATTTCTGGTGCACGAAAACGTTCTGAACCAATATGAACTATTTGTCCATCAGGTAATTCATAATTACGTTCGATTATATTTGTTTTAATACTAGTTATTTTTTCTTTTTCATAATCAAATGCAACATAACATAATTTTTCTTTTATATCTCGAACAATTTCACGTTCAGCTGATGTTGTAAAACCATAACCACGTTTCATTAATAATTGTATAAGAAAATTTGTTATATCTCGACCAGCAAAATCAAGACGAACAATTGTATGAGGAAGTGAATATCCTTCATAGATTGGTACACTATGTGTTACACCATCACCCGAATCAAGAACAACACCTAATTATAACAAAAGAATTTACGTAATTCAATTTGAACGTTTGTTGTGGAAGTATCGACTTTTTAATTGATGTTTCCTACAGGGTTTCTGTTTTCAAGCAAAATCATACTCTTGCATTTCGACCTGAGACTTTGTCTTCATAAAGATCCCGAAATTCTGTGATAAACTCCCTTAGAAATATGAATCTTTCAACAATTTTTTCTACAAGTTAGTCTCAACGGGACCTTTATAGGGTAAAGTTCCAGGTCAAAATTCAAAAATATGATTGCACTTAAAAACTGAGGCTATGCAGGAAAAGTTTACTAGAAGTTCGTCATCTCAGCAACGAAGGCCTAACAGTTGGAACTACTCTAGAATATTCACCTACTAACTACTAGGCTCTATTGGTTAATATAGTCCCAAACTTAGAAGTGATTTTGTCAAAATATTTGTTCGTCTAGAAATCCAGCATACGAAAAAAAATCACTTCTGAATCGAGACTATATGAATTATCTAGACCAAGATGAGCTATGTACGCCTTAAAAAGGAGTTCGTGTTCTTAACTTATTACTGCTGAAATACTGCAGTTTTACGATGATTTTTGAATTTTCACTTGAATCTTCGTATAGAGACAGATTTTAACTAGAGTAGTTGATTGTGAAAGTTTTAAGTATTTTTATTTGCTTCTATACTAGAATAAGAACATTGAATCAGCCAGTTTATATGAACGATGTAACAAACGGAATTCAATCATAGCGGTATCTTAGGATAAGAACAACATCAGTTTTTCTCTTGTCACAACAATCATTTAAAAAAAAACTACCGTAAAAATATAGTGTCTACGTAGCAATAAACTATTTACTACGGTTATGACAATAATTAATAATACCCGTTGTTCGACCTGAAGAATAAAGTGAAAGAATAGCTTGAATAGCAATATAAATAGCTGGGATATTAAAAGTTTCAAACATAATCTAAATTAAATTCTGAAAAAATTGATTTTGCTATTCTTTAAATATTAAAATTATACTTGTGTAATTTTTTCTCGATTCATTTTTGGATTAAGTGGTGCTTCAGTTATTAAACATGGATGTTCTTCTGGTAGAACATGTAATTCATTATAAAATACATGATGCCAAATTTTTTCCATATCATCCCAATTCATAATAATACCATGTTCAATTGGATATTGTAGTGAAAGTATACCACGACGACCTTGAGCTTCTTCGCCAATATATAAATCTTTATAATTCATACCAAGCATAACATTTTGATGTTTTGGTCGACCGACAATAGCCGGAAAAATAGTTCGAGGTGCATCTTCACCACTAAAACCTGACTTACATGTACCTGTGCCATTATCTGAATATATATATGTATAGAAACAAACCAATATGAAATAAAAATGTTGAATTTAATTATTTTATCTTTTTATTTTTTCATATTATTTACCTATTACTATTGCACTAAGCATTAGACAATAAGAAACATAATTGTATGACGAAACAGAAAATATTCTGTAAATATGATTGACTAAAGCGCCAAGATATTAAATATTTCTACAACTTATTAGATGTTGAACATATAGTTAAAATGAATCATTGTGAAATAATTTTTAATTATAATATTCAATATTTGTCTATATAGTAAATTCTATTTTAGCAATCAGATTATCTCCTATTGAATATATACTACTACGAACATAATCTACTTGTACGGTAGGTTTTAGAAATTTCTTGATTATAAATGTACAAGTAGCATTTTTCATGACAATGTGAATGACTTTTGATCTTTTCGTTGTGAGTAACATGAAAAATAATTTTCTATTTAAATGCATAAATCATATGATCTTCATGCTAAAATGTTTATTCGAACTAATAATCAATTAAAAACATTTGACGGTCGTTTTTCTTATTGATAAAAGTTAGGACATAACAGTTTTTGTTATAGTCTTCCATTTTTTACGAGACATTAAACATTGAACTAGATGATTTCGAATTGAAATCAACAACAACAATTTCATATTATAAAAAGAAAATTAAGACTAACCATATCGACACTATCCTGGAAATGACAGATTCAATTTCAATCTAAAATTACCCACCATTGTCAATGTCTCACCAAGTATTATTCACAGAAATGATTTAGATAACAGCATTACTGCGACAAAAAAATTCAAATTAACAATAAATGTAATTTTTATGTCATTCAAAATGAATAGGTTATTTATACCCCACTCTGTAACTTTCGTAATTTCAAACAGTAGGACATTGTTTTTTTTTTTTTTTTCGACAGTTTTACTTTCAACGTTATTCAGATGATTCCTGTCACTATCTTTGACTAAAATATTTCATGGTCTGTGGAAATTACAAATGTCTATCTTAAATATTTCACATCATTTCTTTTAAATCGTGTTTTATAGAAGCAAACACCAGGAATATTTTTACATAATTAATATTATATATTAAAATGATAATTATTTAATAATATAACAAAATATTTTCTAAACATAGCACAAATAGATAGTTATTATAAATGATAACCATTATAATCCACTATCCCAAGTAATACGTTGTTTTTTTGATAACGATCGAGAAAGTTTATTTGATTTTAATATAGATTTCGCTGTTGAATTATTTGAATCATTTGTATTTTGAATAATATTATTTGATGTAATTGTTACTGGTGATGAACATAGATCATTTTCTTCTTCAGGTGTTATTTGCCAAACCATATTAGCAAATGTACGTTTATCTGTAACAAATAAATGTTGATTTGCAATAAGTTGTGGTAAATATGGTGAATTATGATCCACACCAAATTGATTAGCTATTGTATTTGCTAATAATTCTTTATCAATATTAAATAATGGATTTGTTAAATGATTAGCAAATATAATTGGTTGAGAATATGGATAATTATTTGATATTGTTTCTTGTATTGTCGAAGAAGTATTTTCTTCTGAAAGTGAAGAAGAAACATATGGTATTGATTGTTGTGGAAGAAATGATGATAGTCCAAATTGTGTAATATATTGTTGTGGAAATTCATCATTAGGATCATCAGCAATATTAACATAAATTTGAGATCTTTTTTCTTGTTGATTATTTTCTTTAATAAAAGCACCTTGATTGGAATCTATTTTTGTTAAAATAGGTATATTTTCATAATAATGTTCAGGAAGAGTAATAGTATCTTCTATGGTTGAATGAAAACTTATTATATCTCCATTTTTTATTGGTAATGAAGATTTTGTATCTCTTGGAGGAATAGCAGAAACTTTTGTATGAAGAAATTTTGGTAGTTCTTTTTCAACATTTACTGGTATCATTTTTAAAGTCAAATCTTCTTCACTAGAATTTGGTATTGATTGACTTTTATCAAATGTTCTTGAAGATGTCGAATTATTCAAATTATTACGACCATTTTCAGATGGTCTTAATAAATCACGTGGTTTTATATAGATTGTTTTTGATCGATATTCTTCTTGAACAGATGAAGAATTTATTCGATTAGATGAACCATTTGTTGAAGAAAAATTTACTAAAATTTTTTCTACAGTAGAAAAATTCGAAAAAAAAAATTTTTTTCATAAAATGCTATTAGTACAATCCTTGCAGAAGTACAATAAATTCGTAGAACTGATTAAAAAATATTCATATTTTCTTTTTTGTTCGTACTATCACAACAGTTAGAATCTGTACTCGCTCGAGTTCAGATTTGACCCGACAGGTATGACTCTAAAGGTAAAGGTCAATTATTATCACTTTTCTTATACAATCACCGTCAAGGTGCTCTGACAAATGTGTACGATGTGCTAGTGACTGAATCGAAATAAGTATCTCGTATGTTCGAAGCAACTATCAAGAGACGTATTAAAAAATTTAATGAACTAGGTTCGAGTCAAAAAAAATTTTGAATCCAATGGACTCTATCAGAAATTGCTTGTCGGTCTGAGAAGAGCTATCGTTCTATTGCGGCTAAATAGCGGTGAGAAAATGTATAGATTATCATGTTCTGAAAAGTTTAAGGCTCATTAAAAAAATTTGCTAACGTCAAATTGAAATGAATCATTCAAAATTACTCAATTATATTCAATAATTTACCTTCTCGATCCGATTCAATATTATTTGAAGATTTGTATTTATTAGTTGTTTTATTTGATCGTTCGGTTTTTTTTTTATTTGTTTGTGAAACGTGTTTTGATTCATTTTTTTCTGATGATTCTTGTTGTTGATAATTAATTAATCTAAGATCAGTTTGTGTTTCAGCATCAATGTCTGAATGTAATCGTAATTTAGTAAATGATGGTGATGAATTTAAACTTTCTTTTATATCTTCAGGCAACATAAACGATGGACTAGTACTTGGTATATGTACTGGTGTAAATCTTGCATCTGATTTTAATTCAGCTATTTCATTTCGTAATTCTTTTAATTCACGCATTAATTCAGCAACTAAACCATCTGAAAGTTGATTATTTGACGATGATGTTAGATAATTATCACCATTATAATGATTATCAAATTTCGTTGAATTTGTTGTTTGTGGATCAGTAAATATTGTTGTTCCACTAAATATTCGATGATTATTATATGGATTCATATTTGAATTTTTTATTTTAGATTTGTCAGGTTCAAATTCTGTTCGTGAACCAGTACGAACAGGACTTGATTCTACTGAATGTGAAGGTTCAATATCCGATCGTTGCTTTGTTACTGAATGATGTTTACTTCTATTTCTACGATGTTTTCTATCATTATCAGTACTCCAATTATCAACGATTATTTCTTGTTTATTCACTATTTTAGAATTACTTTTTGTAATAGGAGATGTTGATAAATATGCAAAAAATTGTTGTGCACGTTGAATAAATAATTGAACTGATTCATTTCCACGTAAACGAAATATTGATGCTGAATAAGGTCCATTTGCTCGATAAGGTGATCGATTTATTGTTATAACAACGATTATAGTTAAATAATGAGGATCATGCCAAAAATATAATAATTCAGATGTTTTATACATCCATGATTGATTTGGATCAGGTATATTATCAATAACTAAACCTTCATCTGGCAAAGATAATTTTACTTTCAATCCTATGATAAATATAAAAGATAATAATATAACAAATAGGACATATAAAAAACAAAAAAAGATAAATATTTGTCGTTGGTTTTGTTTTCTACTAACCTTTTGATCTTGGTCCTGATACAATTCTATCAACTGTTTGTCTTAATGTATGTACCATATAATTGTCTAAGTCAAGGCGATGAATAAAATAAGCAGAGCATTGAATTGGTGACGATAATGGTAGTGAATTTGAAAAAGATGATTGATGATAACCATTATGAGCTGAAAATTGATTAGTAGGAGCATCAATGATCGGTGCAGGTGATGATCCCTTTGATCGATGATGATGATGATGAGGATGGCGGGGATGATTATTATGATGTTTAGAATCTTTTGATTCTGGCATCGAATCGTAATGTACTTTTCCGAACATATTCTACAAGAATATCAAGAAAAAAAAAAAAAACTCATTACATTTATCAAATAGATAAGCAAATTTGATTTTGGGCTACGTTCATTTCATTTTTTTGTTTGTCTCATCATGATATGATTCGTTCTAATTGAGTTTCAACTCGTCCCATTCTCACATTGTCTCATTGAAGATCTTATCCTAGCTTGTCACGAATTGCTATGAAAGAAAAATATGAGAAACGACAGATAAATGTTATAATAAACAACATTATTCAACGTCTTTCATTTTCATATCATATTTTAAATTTGAATGAATATTCAATACGAGAAATTTTGATCACGAATTTACACACTTCTCAACTTCGATATGCAATGAACTTCAATTCATTGAACATCGATATGAAAAATATGTTTATCAGTAACAAAAGTTCAAAAAATCAAAAGCTTAAATATAAAAATAAAACGAATGTCTACACAAAGATTTAACCTATACATTAATCTCGTCTTTTCCATAACCATTATTAAATGTTAAATTAACTATCAAATCTAGTCGCGTAGTACAAAAAAAAAGTATCATTAAAAATTAAATACTATTTTTATTCCGTTCACTTAACTCTCTTATCTTATGTTTATCATTAAATAAATTATATGTTAAAAAATAAATAGTTCAATATATTTTTCGCTCTCTTGCTCTTTCTCTCTTTCTCTTTCAGCATAAGAGGATGACAAAGGACTAAATTATCTCGGGATGAAAAAGGGACGCAATACGGTTATTCGGTAGATTTTTCATTGTATCATAAAGACAATGAAAGTAATCAAATGAGTGTGAAAAAAAAAAAAAAGAAAACGTTTATCATTCTTTCTAGGATTAAGATTGTCATTCATTACTGTTTAATGTTATGTGAAAACAAAAGAAAAGTCCAGACGAATTAAAAAAAAGCGGTTAGACATGCGAAGAAGGATACACAGACATTGTTTTATCTGTCGTATGATATTCATTTTTTTTTATTATTCGTTTTGTTTCATTGGTCGTATATGGATACGCTTCGATGGCCACTATCGACTATCCTTCAAAATAAAATTTATCACATACAATTGAACTTAACCGCTCTGACCAGGTTATGCTCAGCAGTTGCTTTAGACATATTTTAATAGTATAAATTAAAGTTTATTAAAAAAACAATAAATCAAAACCAACGAAGTTGATACAAGCATCTTAAATTTGTTGTTCTATTGCAACCTTCAAATTCGAATAAATAACCATAATTAATAATTGCCATATTTATTGATATCATTTTTTTTGTACATGTCTATGTTGATTTCGCTGTTGACAGTTCGAATACGATATGCATTCAATCGTTTCATGGATAAAGTATTCGTCCGACCAAGGAGAAAAGCATCTCCTCTATTGAATAGATAAGTTGAGAGAAATATATCAAGTGTATCTTTCTTAATTACAGCTTTGTCATTATTTTTTTATCAGGTACTGATGACCATAAAAACATATGTATGTATATATATATATATATATATATATATGTATTTCTAGGTATATCAGTCAATACAATTAATGATTAATTGGTGGTAACCATTAAATGAGAGAAATCAAGCACGACGAAAAATAAAATATATTTGATAATACATATATTGCATTGGAGAAAAAAAAAACCATCGTCTACAATCATCGGGAAAAAGGTTATCATAAGAATATATTTTTTCTATACAATTTTTTGTACTAATGAAATTCAGGTGTGAACAAGTTACATACAATATTAATTTATTGTTTTTTTATTAAAAATTATTGATAAGCGAATAAAATACAAATGAACATTTATCCAGTTGTCAATTTAAATAAAACGATTAAGAATGACGAATGTTAGCGTAAAGACACCATGAGAGAGATTGTATTCACGATATAAAACTATCGATAATTACATAAATTGTTTATTATCGTTCTTCTTTTCCTAGTTGAATATATATTAAATATCTAATATTTATATTGATTTTATAAATAAATTAGCATGATATTAAAATTCAGAAGTTTTTTTTTATCAATTCATATCTGCCATTATATTCTATTTAAACGTAAAGAAATTAACTTCGATCTCTATCGAAAGTTATTCATACGCATTTTTTTATTTGAACTGAAATTCTATCTTTATAATTTCTTTTTTCTTTTATTATTATATCAAATTTATCTTGACACACTCTTCCTCTTTGTTTTTCTTTTGTGTCCTTTATCATCGGCAAAAAAAAACGTCAAACAACAATTGCACCATCAGGTTCTTTTTTTGCTTGTAATCATCGTATATTTATCTTCGAGCAGAAAAATTACACAAGAAAGAGAAAAAGACAAAAATAAAGAATATCATCTACATGATCGAATATGAACCATACGAGAGTCTATAGAGAATTTATAGTGAATGTAACAGCATTGTGCTCAGTCATTACACTACGATAATAATATACAAAAATAAATCGATCAATATAAAGTCAAAGAAAAGAAAAAAAAACAAGAAAAACAAACAATAACACAAAATTATAAAAAAATAAACGAAGCAATGGAAGACGAACAAAAAAAGAAAGCTGCTCAATGCTAAATATACGAATGCTAAAGCATGACAGATTTATTTTGTTATTTTTATAGAAAAGATGAAATACATCTTTTCAATTTTCTATTGATAATAACCATTAGTAAATATTTACAAATTTAAAAATAAAACGAAAAGGAAAATTGCATTGTTTCTTTTTTTTTGTCAGCTAATTTTTGCTGATGTTGATTGTTCTTGAGATAAAGACACATTATAAAACTAGTACAGTTAGTTAACTAACAATAATAGCAGAGTCGGCACATGTTTTTGTATCTGTTTTATTTTTTGAAGTTGATCCACAATATGTATTTGATGCTGATCTTGTACTATTATTGTTATTTATCCCTGAATTATCATCATTAATGTCTGTTGTTGTTGACGTTGATGATATTGTTGTTATAGTTGGTATAATATTTTTTTCCCATTCTCTTAGTTGAATAATAAAACTTACATTAGGATCAACTATTTGGCGTAATTTACGCATTTTATCAAATGCTTCATCTAATGTCCAGCGATTTTTTTTCATCGCATAAGCAAGTACTAGTGTTGGACTACGACTAATACCAGCTGAACAATGAACAAGAACATTATTAGTTTTTATACGTAAAGCATTATCTAATTTTTGAGAAAAATAAAATAAACATTTGAAGAAAAAAATAAATATAATTAAACTAACCGACAAATTCTATGAAATCTTCGAAATATTTACGAATATTTTGTGATGGTGAATCGAGTATATTTATTCGCATATATTCATATTTCTTTTCCCAATAAAAAGGTAAATCAGGTGTACAATTAACAATATGTGTAATACCATTCTGAGTTAAACGGTCTCGACTCTGTGCATCGAGTATATTACCTAAAACAATGTATTATTATCTTTACTAATTAAGATATTGTTATGGTTTTAGTTGTCAAGTCATATAACCTTGGACTTCAACAGAAAACTTTTTCTTTTTTTATCTTATCCTTCGACCTTCAATTACTCAATGTTTTCATAGTGAGTCAATTAATAATGCGCACTTCAACCAACGGATTCTTTTTCTTTTTTTTACGCCGTTTTATATTCCTTCGGCTTTAATTAATCTTCATAAGAATTCTTCTTCTTTTTTTTTAATTTAATCATATGATAATGAAATTTTTTCTTTTTCCTTTTATAATGAATACATACCTACAAATATATGTGGTAAAATTTCTGTCATAACAACATTTTCTTTATCAATTGTATCGGGACTTGCTGGTGGAGGCATAAGATCTTGATCAAATTTATCTTTGAATAATTCTGTTGGACATTCAATTAAATCTGGATATTCCGTTTTAACAGCATCTAGACCTCCTATAACAAGATTTTTTTTGTTTTTGCTAGACATAAATTTCATTTTTTCTATTTTTTTTTTTTTTCTAAATTCTACCTTGAATAATTTGAACTTTTTTATTTGATTTTTGTGCTGCCTGTACAACAAGATTAATAGGGAGGGAATGCATTTTTTCTTCTGCTCGTATATCTGTTGATTGATCATATAGAATAACAGTATCAGAATTATTTAATGATAATGATAAGTTCGGTTCAATATCTTCTAAACGCTTTGAAGTTAATTTTCTTGCCATGATTTTCGTTCGACAATTTATATTATGTGATGAACGTATACGTTCACTACCGAAATCCATTTGAGAACGACAATCAAGTATAGGCAATTTTTGTGAATTAGAATTTTGAACTAATTCAACAAATTGTCTCGGAGTTATGAATGCACAGCTATCAGTTGAATGTGATGGTGTTGCATCAGAACAACTGTATGCTTTTGTTAATGGTGCTCTCTTTGTTGTTGTTGTTGTTGATGCTGTATTCTTTGTAGATTTATCGACGTTAGGATATGTATTCATTGTTTTTTCTGCCAAAACACAATCATTATGAACACGATTCATACCTTGGAAGCAAAAAAAAAGAAAAAAAAAATTAAATTTAAAATTTTTCTTATTTTCTTTTTGTCATTTACTACTCACATTGGAGCTATTATTATTATAAAAATGAATTTTTTTTTCTTTCTGTAGCTTCTCAACTTTCGCTTCTCTTCTCTTCTTTTTTTGACATGTTTATTTGTTTACTACAAAGCTGATGCAATATATAGGTATCAAGGGCACAGAATAAAAAGAAAATAAATAAAAATAATACGCGTTTTTCCTATTTTTATATGTTTATTAATCACATTACTCTATTCTTAATTCAGAAACGCAAAAGAAACCTTGTTTCTTTCTTTAATTGTATAAATATTATAATTAATTTTTAATAGATGTCGTACATATACACATACTATTGTAGAATTGAATAAGAACAAAAGAGAAAAAACAGAATTATTAGACGCTTTTTTAGAATGAACCGGAAATAGCTTTAAAATTTTTTATA